CTGTGAGCACACTTATAGCAAAATAGTTGATGACCTACCTCACCATGAATAAAAACGCCATTGCATGGGGCGTCCAGGCAGCAACCACACACAGAAGGCTTCGAGTCAAGATGGGGAGGGTCTGATTGGCTACTATCTGATAACATGGTCCTTTTGGATGCTGGGCAATTGTTTTCAGTGGACGTTCTTTTTCTCTTGGTACTCGGACGAGGAGGAAAGAACCGTTTGCGGTCCTGAAAAAGAAGATCAGTTGTGTGTTACAAAAATATCTGGAGAAAAAGGCATTTCAATACCAGAAAAATGAAGATTGAGACACTTGCCATGTAACATTTTCTGCAAAATGGAAACGGTGAACTTTGAGAATTAACGTGACATCTTAAACACTTCCTGGTTGTTTTTGTATTAAATTGAAAGATTTCATGTGAATCCTGAAGACACAAGAAAAGCAACACCATCAATACCCTGAAATGGTCAATGTTTCAACAAATGTTTGTTGCATACAGTAAATATCATATTTAACACGTTCCCTGCGGCTCATTTTTGGTCCCTATGACTTAACATGGGGAGCGTGACCACTATGTGGTCACGCTGCAGGGAACATTTAAATGCGTAAATAGCACTGTGCCACCCTCTGCAGGCGAAGCTCTGCAGATTATCCCTGTCCACTGAGCCAGTCTACACACCAATACTTAAAAAAGGTAAAACTGACCTCTGGGCCAGAGGAGATTTCTGGTAGCGTGGGTATGCTTGAAGCTGACGATCCTACTGAATACTCTGATTCTAAAGATGATGTTTCAGTGTCAGGAGTATCCTGACAGGATGCTGTTAACACGAACTCACAATTAAACTACGGATACATCCACATACAGTGAAAACTCTTTCAATTAATTTTAATACCTGTTAACTCCATTTGACCACTAGACTCACTTTCAGTCAAGTCTGAAAGTTCAGATTCAGACTCCAATCTAATATCTAAGACCATGATAGAACTGCAACAAAATAAGAAAAGCAATATTACGTAATTGAAAAACGCACAAGGTGTGAAGGAACATCGTGATTTAACAGCTAGGTGCAACTATCTCTTACCTGGCTGTAGATGATCTGAGAGTCGGGAAGTGCGGTATACATGAAACGGACGCTAAATCCATGATTGAGCTGCAGCTTCAACACGACGCTGCAGGACGAAAACGAATGGCAACTGACCTCACTGTTCGCGAACACGAACTCACCAAGAGCAGAGGCAGACAACACACACAACACTAACCAACAGGACAATAAGTGGTGCAAGCTTTGACAAGTTCAAACTGGCATGTTTACATCGTGACTCACTGTAGCCAAAGCAAGAAAATGAAAAACTGCGAGCGCGGTGCCTCGGTGCCAACTGTGGGACCTAGAAACGGGACGGAGACCACATGTGACCTCTCGCAGAGTGCGCAGAAAGCAAAGGTGCGCTCGTGAGTCATGTTTACTCGTGAGTGAATGTCATAACAAAGGTGCAGAAAGATAACAACAAAAATAGAGAAATAAGGGCTGTAGAGGCAAAACATGGCGACTATGGAGAAAACCAAGTCGCGACAGGTGTGTTGAAATTTGCTGCTTCATTTCTTACCTTTGATTACGGTTTTGCCAATCTGTTATAATCTAAATATAACCTTAGAAGGAGCATCAATCAGCTGTTTTTGTCCACAAACATACCTACTCAGAGCATCATAACAGATTTCCCTAGATATTTAGGGAACATATTCCACTCAATCAATCTTAGAAGTCTGATGAAGTCTTTGTTACTCATACCTTTTTCCCATTTTATTTTTTCAGCCGAAAAAGAAAGTTAAATCAAAACGGACACATGAAACTAAAAGCCATGAAGAAATATTGAACGCATGTGCTTCCCTCTGTGATGACAGTCAAACCCCTCATTGTGAGGGTTTAGAGAATCAGCTTACTGATGAGCCTAAGGAGTCAAGAAAAGATGAAACTGGACAACACATTTTGTCTGACACTGAAGAAAGTCCACTTCTCTCAACACAACAAGAAGGCATTTTTCAGAGGCACGGCAGTTCTTTAGTTGAGCACATTTCTGATAGAAACATGCTTGACACTGTCGGTGCCAGCTGTCCCCTTAATGATACTTCCCTTGAATCATGTAGCCAAAATGCAGTAAAAGTAGAAGTTCCTGAAGATATCTTGGTTCAGATTAACTCACCAATTCATAAACCTTCTGATGGTGCTACAAAAGCTAGCCATCCAAAAAGTGCAGAACTTTCAACTGCTTCTCAAGAACAGCCTTACACCACTGTCTCTGAACAGTTGCTGCGGTGTAAAGTATCAGATGATGTAGAAGAGGGAGTAGAGGCAATGTCTTCTAACCGCAGTACTATTGATGTGTCTTGCTCAACAACAAATAGGGAAGAAATGTCCAAGTTTGTACATCAGACAACCACTGTGAATCAAAGCAGTCTCAGAAATCGTGAAAACGAACGAGGGTTGATACCCAAACCTCTTTCTGATGAGGAGCTTTCTGCCCTCTATTCCAATCTTGAGCTTGATGCCTGCACTGAGTTTGTTTCTAGTTTTGTTGAGTCACATTTACGACCCTCATCGAAACAGACACATCCATTGCATGATTTACTTGTCATTTATCTTAGATCTATTAACAGGCTTGTTGTAAACCACATGGAATTAGATGCCAATAAGAGGGAAAGTAAGGAAAAACAAAGTCAGCTTTGGATTCTAGAAACCACAACTATCACTGAGAGTGGAGAGTGCCAGGATGGGAATCCAGTTTCAGCCAGTCATGTGTATCAAATGTCTAGGCTTAATCGGCCTATGCTCTCTCAATTAAGACGTCTTTTGGCGGGGATGAGAGAATTAGTAAACATAACACATTCATTGGATGCCTATTTATGTGAAGCAGCAAGACTTCAAATTGAAGGATTAATTCAGAATGTTGCTCAGAGTTGCCCTGAATTCACATTGTTGTCAGAAAATAGTGAAGCTAGCCTCTGTCTTGGTCCTCATAGCCCAAGGTAAATTATAATTACTGACTTTTATATTAGTTTCTTTCTAATTAATTATGCAACTATTATTTTCATTTTTCAGCTTTGTGCAGTCTGTCATGGAGCTACGTGCCTGCATTGCAATTCTCTTCAGTTTCCAAAGAAGACCAATGAGAGATGAACGGTTTGTTCACGATACACAGGAATGGCTCTCTCGCCTTGTAGCTCTTTTAGTCCGAATAGGCAATTGGCAAGACCACATGTTCTTGCTGAACCATGTCTTAAGGTACACACATCGAAAATAATGTTAAATTTTTCTGAGTGTCTAAAAATCTAACAGAAGTCTGAAAATTTATTTTACAATTACTATGGCTGATTCAAATTTTCTTTGCAGATGTCCAGCAGGTGTTGGCCTCTGGGCTTCTAGCTTTGTCCAAACTCCAATTCCTAAACATTGTTTTGTGAACCCCAGTAGCAATCCACCCTTTGAAAGTCCTTACATAGATCATGTTATTGTAGCACTTTCTACTATTATTCTTCCGATCAGAGAAAGGACAGCGTTCTTGGAGCAGGTGCGATTTCAGGCATTGTTCTTCATCCTGCATTCCACAACCCTTAGAATTATCATGTTATATTTTCTTTTCAATACAGTTTAGAGCTTCTCTTGGAGAATTCAATGGAACAACAGATGCTTGGATTGTGATTGACTCTGATGGAGAGGATGATGACGAAGATGGGGAAAATGCTGTGGCTCTAAAAGAGAATGATTTGGTGGCTCTTTTGAACCAAGTTGCTATTGGACCAATGTTTCGATACCTATTGTGTGTTAAAGAGGATGATAATAGACAAGACACTTGGACAGGAGCAGCTGCCACACCTCAACATTTCCTACGCCTCCTCGCATTCAGTACAGTCCTGGTGCGACTGCTGCGAAGGGGTCTTGAGGCACTTGCTACTCCCAGATACAGGCAGCTCTCTAAAAGACTGGGCCGTCTTGTAAGACACACAGTTCAGTATGCTACTGACACCTGGCAAATTTTAAGTGAAACATATACTCCTGAAAATGACCCAGCGATGGCTATGAGATTGCAAATTGAGTATGATGCATTTTTAGTCAGGGCTACTAATTGTATTCATTCCTCAAGGCACCTTGGTGCTTGGCAGTTCCTTGCTATTCTTCCTTATAACATGGTTTCTCTACCTACTCTTTGGAAGCTTTGGTATGCACTTCATGAGGATGAGCAAACTGAAGAATCAGTTATAAATAGCTCTCACAGTGAAGGTTAGTATTAAAAATATCCGAATGAAGATGTAAGATTACTATTTTCTTTAATTTTGACTCCTTGTTTGCACATCAGATTTGGAAGCCAAAGTGTACGCTCCTGCCCTCCGTGCTCAACTTGAAGAGCGTCTTGTATCCATGCCAGACTCAGAATCTTATTATCTTTTAACTACATTTGCCAACATGGCTCTTGCAAGACATAACTATGATTGGATGTTTATTCGTGCAGCATCTCTGGATTTATTACAAGTATGTGCAGTAATTGATTCGAATATTTAATGCAGTTAATTGTAACTTATCATATCTACAGTGTACTAATTTATGTACTTATTATTCAATGGCAATATTTCCAGATTGGCTTTTTGAGTCCTACATCTCAAGAGGCCTGCTCTAAATCTGTAAGAATACTTCTCAGTGGCATAGTTGCCAAACATCCTCCATTGCTGTCAGAGATACTTACAAGGCTCTCTGAAAATTTTGCATCAGCTGGTAAAGTAGGTTAATATTTTTATACTTATGTAAATAGACATTGTGTCTGCCGTCTAATGTTGTGAAACCTTTCTCAAAGTGAATTTTATTGCCTGGTTTTATTGGTTTTACTTTTTATTTTAGCTTAGCCTCTATCTGTATCGTGAGCTCCCGTTAAGTCATTGGCAGCCTATCAGAAGTGATGTTGCTGTATTGACTAGGTGGCTCTTACGGTTCCCTTTGACTTCAGCTGAGAATGGTTTAGCTCGATACATTCTTACCAATCTTAACTGGGGCTTGTAAGTTCATTCTTTAGATGTAGGTAATCCAGGAATATTTATGTTAGTTTGCTGCTTTCTTCATTTATCTTTCATTTATTGCTCCATTAGCAATTGCCATGGAGAGCTCTTCTTGGTTCCTCAACTGCATCGGGATATTGCTCTACTTGTCTTAAAGGCTGCTCTGCAATATGTCCCTGATGCAACTGGGAGCACAGCAATGATATCTGAAAGCTTAAAGCAGGTCAGATTTTGGTGCAGGCTTTCTGTCTTGATTTAAAACTCTGTATTGTTGGTAGTAATTTGTTTACCTTCATCTAATGTGCAGGTATCATCTATGGTCAGAGCTCAAACGCCGGAACAAGCATTCTTACAGTGGGTCTGGGACATGTTTGCCAAATTACGATTACATTTATTGGATCAGTCTGAATCCACAGTATGGTCTGCAATGGCAAATCTAAATGAAATGTTACACCATGTGCCTGACTTGGAGGTGGATAGTCTGGTGGAGCTTGCCTTAGGAGTTAAACAGGGACACAGTGTAGCAAGTTTTGCAGTAGTAGCAATCACACAAGTTGGCCACAGTGTCCCTCAAATTTGTGGTCAAGGTAATATTCAATTTCCTTGGATTATAATATAAAGTAATAATTTCACATAATTTTTTACTTGGGTAATTGTATTTTATTTATTTTGGTGGTTTTACCAGGATTTAATCACTTGTGCCACCTCCTTTCTTGTGGGCGTTATGAAGCAGTTTTAACTCTACTGCGTCACATCATACCATTGTTTTTGGAATGTGTACCCTCCCTATTACAAACTGACAAGTGAGAACATATCAATTTTTGCTATCATCAGATAATATTAAAATCAACAAACTACATGTGTTTATCTTCTTTGCTTGAAAACCAAAATGTTACCGTGTTATTCAGATGGACTAACATACTTTTCTTGTTGTAGGTTCCAATCAGTTTTATCTGGTTTACTGCAAGCGGATCGTACTTATGTTAAAATGGCCAAGAATTTAATTGCTCCTGACTTCCCTGGTCCTATTATAAGGCAGTTTGGCAACATGATTCAGAGTCATTTGCAGTATTTCCAGAGGTCAATTAATTGTTTGTTAAATTCATGATAATTCATAATATCTGAAAGAAATAGTTTTCATTAAATTTTATTTTCCCTTAAAAAAACAGATATAATCAGCCTGGACCACAAAATTTTGTTTCCCTGTGGCTTCAAGTTCTGACCAGCATGTCTGATTGGTCGAGAGATCCAGGAATACTCTTCTTGCTTGATATTGTTTTAAAGACAGCATTTATTGAAAAGGAATCTAAAAGAGTGGCAAATGAACTACTCAGAAGCCTTTTTCAGGTTTGTAT